GATGTTACTACTGCAGTTCTGGTTTTAACACTGGGTTTCTGGTGCCATCATCTTTTTAATACTGGCACCTCAGGGTACTGTGCCACCTCAGCCCAAACCCACCTCCACACTGACCAACCAAGACCGTGGGGTGATGACCCCCTCTCCCCAGGACCAGCAAGCTATATTGTCTTGGGTCTCAGGCCAGGCCTCCCCCATTCAGCCTCAGAAACTATGTATTTTTAAGATGTACAATGCAATATTATAAAATGATTGCCACGATCAAGCTCATTTGCCTTTCTGTCATTTCTCATACTTGCCAATTTCTGGTTGAGATGAAAAAATGGAGGGTCTGTTCCCTTGGCAAATCCCACTCCCACAGTCCATCTTACTAACTGGAGTCACCTGCTGTGCATTGGCCTTCCAGAGCTGACTCTCTTGGGAATTATCTGAGCCAGCCTTGCTTATTTCACTTAGTGTGCAATAAGTGATTCTCCCTTTATTAAGGTCGAATAATAATAAACAAAAAATTAAAAACAATAAAATTCCCCATCACATTTTACTTATCTACTCACTTGTCAACTAGGCATTTAAACTGTCCTTGTATTTTGACTACTGTGGATAGTGTTGTGTTGAGCATGGCGGTGGGAAAAAAAATATTTTCAAATCTGGCTTATTGACTTTGGATGCAGGCCCAGTAGAACCACTGGATGTTTTATTTTTGAGGAACCTTCGTGCTATTTATACCCCAGTGACAATGAATAAGAGTTCTCATTTCGAGGACTGGAGAGATGGCTCAGAGGTTATTAGCACTGGCTGCTATCCTAGAGGTCCTGGGTTCAATCAATTCCTAGCAACCACACGGTGGCTCACAACCATCTGTAATGAGATCTGAGGCTCCAACTGTCTATAATGCCATCTTCTGGCGTGCAAGCATACAAACAGATAGAATGCTGTATACATAATAAATCTTTTAAAAAAAAACAGTTCTCATTTCTTCACATCCTTAAAAACATTACCCTCTTGAGTTCTTTGACAATGGTCACCCTTTCAGGAGTGAGCTGACATTTCATTGTGGCTTGGGTTTGTATATTCCTGTCATTGCTGAAGCTTTACTCTTTCTCATGTCCCAATTGGCAATTTATAGGTTACTATGGTAGTTTGTCCCCTCCAACACCCATGTGAAATGGATAGCCACTAGGAGATGACAAGCTTTTGACTTTGCACCATTCTCCTTGTCCCATTTCATCCCTTAGTTACTCTGAAGGGCAATCTAGATGATTCCAGGCTGTTAACACACTTGGCTGCGGTGGCCTTTTTCGCTCCTCACTTCAACTGACTAAGTTTTGGTTTCCAGTAATCAAGTTTCTAATTCCCAAGATGTCTGGATTTTTCAGAGCATCTAATCACAGCTGTGGGAGTGTGCAGGTCTGTCGGCCCTACTAGCTAGCTATTTCTTCCGGTATGAATGCATCCTGTGTAATTGGGTGCTTTCTCTTCCACAACATCCATCCATGTTCCTCAAATGCTGGGATTCTCTTGATAGTGAGCTTACTCTTGCATCTGCGGTAGATTCCTTTTAACCTCAGTGGCCTCCTTGAAAGATGGGAGGTGGCCACATGTATACAATGTTTCTTTTCCTGTTGCCCTTTCAGATGCAACAAATTCTCTTTCAAAATGTGTCCCACTTCCTCCTTTACCAAACCACAAAGGTTGTTTTTCAGCTTTTGACTGGCTCCAAGCCACCATTTCCTGACCTACTTCCTCCTTACTCACACAGAAAAAAAAAAAAAAAAAATCTTGTGCTTTAATTTTTTTTCCCTCACCTTACTTCGATTCTTTGATTAGCAGCTGGGGTTTGGATTTCGCGGTTGGACTTCGACCAGTGAGGAACAGTCCAGGTTCCCTTTTACATCTGGGATAAAACCAGAAGGACTCCCCCAACGCCCTGTTCGTTTGTGCAGGAGTGTAAGGATGCAGACAAGACACTTTAATTACAGTAGTGGCATCCTTCTTTGCGACCTCAGAAATATTTCTAACTCTAACCCCAACCAAAGCAACTTAGGGGAGGAAGGGCTTAATTTAGGCCACAGTTCTGGGTTACAGGCCATCATTTCCAGGGAGTCAAGAGCAGCAGAACTTGAGACAGCTGGTCCAAGTGTGCCCATAATCAGGAAGCAGATCAATGAATGCCTGTGCTGGGGGCCGGGGGAGGGGGGGGAGCACTCTCTTTTTCAGTCTAGGGGCCCAGCTCATGAAATGGCGCCACCCACATTCAAGGTGGGTTCCCAATGCAATTAACCGAATCAGGAAAATTCCCCACAGGTCCACCTCAAGTAGACACTCCCACACTGAGACTCCCTTCCCAGGCAATTCCAGATTCTGCAAGCTGATGACTGAAACCAATCATCGCAGTGGTTGCTGGGTAAAGGAAGCTACATGCGGCTTTCGGATGCACAGGTTTCCTGTCCCCGAACAGCAATCACCAGGCTGCAAGCTTTGCCTGGCCTCTCTGAGCCAAGTTTTCACTTCTTCCCTACTCCTGCCCCTGGGCAGACCTCCAAGACTCACTGTTTGGCCTGAGGCATACACCTCTGACCTCTTCTGGCCACCAGCTTATAAAACTGAGTGTAAAGAGTCCTTCCTTCTGCTCATTCTTGCAGGAACCCCCTCATCCATAGTCATGAAACTCACTGCTTCAGTAAGTAGACTTGGGGGGGGGGTGTCGTTTCTTGGGTCCATCAACAGTGCCCTGTTGTTGGAATTTTTTCCTAATGCAAAGGTACTTCGCCTGGGAAGGACTCATAGTTTCTGAATCTTCCTCTTCGAACAAATTAATCAATCTGGTCGGATTGTGAAGTTGAGCTCCCACAAGTGGGTGGAACATGGCCACCATCTACATCACATATAAAAGATGGTATCCTTGTTGGCTCGGTGTGTTACTAACCTGTCTTGGACACTGGTGCATCCTTTTTTGCAAAAATAATCACTTTGCTGTGATATTCTCACTTTCTTGCTGTGTGTTCTCTTTCAAAACACCCAGATTATTTCTAACATTAACTGTGGTAAAGACATGAAAAGCCTCATGTCAGTCTTCAGTTTGATCCATTTACTTCCTATATTTTATTAAAGTTCTTGGTTCATGAGGTGTTTCCTACATAGTTTTCTATGAAACATATGAATTTGTTTAGATCATTCCCAGCAGTTTATAACTGGGAACAGAAAGGAGCAGCTGGTGCCTGGTGACTTGATGAAAGGATGAAAAGAATTGATTCAGGAACTGGCTCTCTGTAGGGAATCAGGGAAAAGGGTCCATGGCATAAACTGCAATTTTATCCCACTAAGGGTAGAGGCTCTAAGCTGATGTGTGTGTGTGTGTGTGTGTGTGTGTGTGTGTGTGTGTTTTGCTGGAAATTGAATGCAAAGCCTTGACATGTTAAGCAAGCACTCTACCACTGAGCTAGACCTTTAACCTTCGGAATTAAAGTATCTGTCTACTAAACCTAACATCTGGGCTCTCTCAAGGACCGTTTTGAGCAACCAATGATATCATAAACATAAGCCATGTTTTCATTTATTTCAAGCTCTCACATATGAAAAAATTATCTCTTCAGACAATATGATTTGGCAGCTCTGAAGAATAAAGCACCTCCACTCAAAGGTTTAGTGTTCTTGCTATTCTATTGTCCTCAATGGCATGTGTGTTAGTTTAGTAGCTTTCTTGGGTAAACTCTATAGAGTCAGTCTCCCCTGTTACCACCAAATGAACTCTCAGTATATAGGTTACTGGCCAGCTAATGATTGTGCAGAGATTTTTAAACAGTTCTTTCACCTAGTAAGTGCCTACACTTTGCCAAGGAACTCTGGGGCCTGAGGCACCTTCAGTCCTTAGGCAGTTTACAGGTATACTAGTTTATAGGTATACTCCTTTCTGCATAAGGCCTCAAGCTCAGCCAGAATTGAGAGACTTGGGATCCTTCCAGGCTTTATCTGAGTGTTTTTGAGCCTTTTAGATCCTTAGGAACACATCAGAGATTTCCAATATCCTTTACTAAAGTCTTATTTCCCAGAGGCTCTTTTCAACTTTTTGGTCCCCCAATATCAGTTTAAATGGTATAAACTAATTGTGGTGATATTTTGTTTATGATCTAACAAATAAGACTTGTCTGAAGATCGGAGCAAAGCCTGCCATACTAGTTAGCCATAGAGACCAGGCAGTGGTGGTGCACACCTTTACTCCCAGCATTTGGGAGACAGGCAGACAGATCTCTGTGAGCTTAAGGACACCAGGAATGACACAAAATTGATCCAGTCTAAAAGAGAAACAGCTCACGCAAAGGTGATCCCAGCACTTGGGAACCCACGCCTTTATTCCCAGCACTAGGGAGGTGGAGACAGGAATGATAAGCCTGGGCGGAGACAGGAATGTAAGGTGGGAGGAAACAGAAGCTCAACGCAATCTGAGGAGCTGCAGTCTGAGCAGTCTGAGGAGGCAGTCAGTCTGAAGCAGTCTGAGGAAGAGTCAGTCTGAGCATGAAGTCTGAGAACAGTTTCATCCCTTAGGTCTGAGCATTGGTAGAAGTAAGAACTCTCTAGTGGCTGGCTGTTCTGCTTCTCTGATCTTTTAGCTTTCCCCCCTAATATCTAACTCTGGGTTTTTATTATTAATACCAATTAGAATTGGTGCTGGGGATAGGGGATAGGGGTTCCTCCATAGAGTGAGTCCCAGGTTGGGGCTTCCTGGCCATTAATACCTGCTTTCTGTCAATGTCAGAGCTTCCTGAAGTCCCTGGAACCCAGGCTGGCAAGGGCAAGGTCTGGTTGAGACTGGAAAGTTGGGAGTGTTGACCCAATCCCTGCTATGTTCACCAATAGAACCCATGGACCTGGGTGCCCAGAGCCCCATGCAGTCCTTACGGTAAGATTAGTGTGGTCAGGGAGGGCAGGATGACAGCATGTCCCCAAATGTCCTAGCCGGTTCAGACTGCCACCTCCTCCCACTGAGTATGGCAAAGGAGACAATCAATACAAAAACAAACTTTATTTTGCTATCTCACAAATCAGCAGGGAAATCACCATGACACATGCTCTGGCTTCTGGTACTTCTGCCAGACGCAAACCCATCCCTTCACGTCCTCAGCTGTAGCATGAGGGCTCAGGCTGCCCCTGCTACCCTGGGGACTTGCCAACATGGCCAAAAAGATTTCTTTTTGCCGTATCAACCTCTTCCAAACTTCTAGCTAGGGAAAGAGTCACTGAACCTCCCTCACGGCTAACAAGACTTGGTGACCCAAGATCAGGCTTGGTGGCCTGTGACCGTGCTTGCTGACCCATGTCCAGACAGAGGTTTATCCTGTCTCAGAGCCAGGTCCTGTCTGCCACCCACTCCAGGAAGCTGTCTCTTCAGGAGCCTTCTCCAGGCTTCAGTGAAGGTTCCACAGCCACCTCCTCAATCTGCCAGCGGCACATGGGGCACCTGGCCGTGTCTTTGAAGACGTGCCAGGCGCAGGAGCCGCAGAAGTGTGAGTGGCCACAGGGAATGAGGCGGGTGTTGGCAGGGTTGTGGAAGCAGATGGCACACTCCTCTCCTGATGTGACTGGGAAAGGAGACAGCATGGGTCAGAGACACACATAGGGTAGGCCACCTACCTACTCATGTCTTACCACAGGGCGGAAAAGCATTTTTGTGGTTAGCTAGAGTGATGGCTCAGTTGGTAAAGTGCCTACTTGGTGTGAGTTGAGTCCCCAGAATCCAAGTGAAAGAATAAGCACATGCTGGGGAAGTGGAGACAGAAGAGTCCCTGGAACTTGCTGCCTAGCCAGTCTAGTCAATCAGCGAGCTCCAGGTTCAGTGAGAGAACCTGTATCAAAACCAAGGTGGCAAATGATGGAGAAAACACCTGAGATCTGCCTCTGGACTAACACACACACACACACACACACACACACACACACACAGAGAGAGAGAGAGAGAGAGAGACAGACAGACAGACAGACAGACAGACACATATGATCGCGTGCGCGTGCATGGCTGGGTTACAATTCAGTTGGTAGAGTGCTTGCTTGGCATGCACAAAGCCCCTGCATTTTATTTCCAGCACTGAATAAAACCAGTAGTGCTCGCTGGGTGGTGGTGGCGAACACCTTTAGTCCCAGCACTTGGGAGGCAGAAACAGGTAGATCTCTGTAAATTCTAGGCCAGCCTGATCTACAGAGCAAGTTCCAGGACAGACAGGGTGATACAGAGAAATCTTGTCTCGAAAAATAAGCCAGGCGTTAGTGGCACATGCCTTTAATCCCAGCACTTGGGAGGCAGAGGCAGGCGGATCTCTGTGAGTTTGAGGCCAGCCTGGTCTCCAGAGCGAGTGCCAGGATAGGCTCCAAAGCTACACAGAGAAACCCTGTCTCTGGAAAAAAAAAAAAAAGAAAAAGAAATACAAAAAGCAAAAAAATAAAGAAAAAATGAGATTAAACTAGTTTGTGATCCCAGCATTTGAAAGAGTATTTAGAGTAAATCTGAGGCTAGATTAGGTCACACGAGACTGTTTCAGAGAAGGGGGGAGGGTCTGTTCATGAATATGCTCTGCTAATTGGAATGATCTAAAAGGCAGGAACATCCCATTGATCTAGACAGCAGTAAACAGTGGGAGGCCTCTGTGGGAGCCTAGAAAGATGGCTTTGAACAACCAGACTTCCCAGCCACTCTACTCAGTGCTGGGATCCCTGGGTAGGACGTGGGCTCACCTTCAGACTCTGGTACAGCCTCTCCATTGATGATCCAGGCGTTGGCTTTGGGATCTAAGGCAGAAAGGGAGGTTGGGAGTCAGCCCAGCAGCTCCAGGAATCCACATGCACGCATGTGTGCATGCACGCTACCCTGTAGCAGCCACTCCCTGCCTGTCATGTTACAAACCCAGGTGAGAGCTGTCCCATCTTTGTCATGGTTTTGCTTTTCTACCTGTGTATGGGTGAACTTCTACTTAAGCGTCAAGGCCCCACCCAAATGCTTTATCCTTTGTGAAACGCTACCAGCCTTCTAACATTATTTACAGCACTGGTCATATCTTTTCATCCTTTAGGACAAGGCTAAGGCTTTTGCCCATTTCGAGTCTCCAATGTCCATCCTTACATTAGGCCATGGGCTGATGGCATACTGAGCATGAAGGAATGAATGGTTCTACCAGGGCCTCTAGACAGGACTGAGAAGCCAGCTGGAATTCTGTCTCCATGCCATACACTCCAGAACCACAGTGCTTGGGACCCCAAGGATTGTCTCACCCAGCAGCTCAATGGCTTTCGTGGTCCCGTACACATCCATCACCGCCCAGAGCGGGGCGCCCTGGACCAGCACGTCTTTGCGCAGCAAGAGGGGACGGCCAGCGTTGACCTTTGCGTAGAGCCAGCCTCTACGGTTCACCCAGAAGCAGACCACATTCCCTGCACGAACGAAACCCTCTGGAAGCAGCGCTGCCCACGTGGGGCTCTGCTCTTCTAGGTCGGGGCACACGAAGGGCGGCAGGCAGGATGCGGCCACATTTGCAGGGTCCAGGCGCGTGAAGCCCACGCGGAGGCCACCGCACCAGCCGTCCTCTTGTCGCAGCACGCGCAGCGCTACACGCTCACCGGGCCACACTGGACGCTGGCTGAACACAATGCCATCATGAAACGTGGATAGCCTATGCGCTGTGCTCCTCTGGTCATCCAGATGCACCTGTGTGCCAGTGGCATCCCCGTGGAAACTAAGGGCCTCGCGGGCCTCACGGGGCACCTCAGCGTCTGTGGGGCAGAGTGAGCAGCCTGTCAGTGAGGGCTCATTCTAACCCACCGGCTCCCCAGAAAATGTCCAGTCTACTCTGGCCTCCTCCTGGGGACCACTTTCCCTGGAGCCACCTCCACTCCCCAAACCACCTCAAGCATCACCCCACAAGCCCCAAGGATCTGCTAAAAGCCCAATGAGCAGTCCACTCTACCTGCCTGGGTCTGTTAACCTCTCCAGTCCCCAGCCTCAGTGGCCCATTCTGCCTGGCATGAAAAGAACCTGTATCTGCACCAGCCCTTTTTAAACCCAGCCCTGAGCCATGGTTACTACTGGAATCGAATAGCAAAAGCAACTTGTTTGGTGTGGTGGAGCTATAATCCCAGCGTTGAGGCAAGTTCCAGGCCTGCTGAGCTACATAAGGGGTTCCAGGCCAGGGAACTATCCTTAAACAAAATGAAACCAAACACTTAGGCAATTGAACTTAAATGAGGTTTATTGGTTTGTTGTTGTTGTTGTTGTTGTTATTGTGGTTGCTGGGTTTTTTGGGGTTTTTTGTTTTGTTTTGTTTGTTTGTTTGCTTGTTTGAGACAGGGTTTCTCTGGGTAACCCTGGCTGTCCTGAAACTTGCTCTGTAGACCAGACTGGTCTCAAACTCACAGAGATCCACCTGCCTCTGCCTTTGCCTCTTGAGTGCTGGGATTAAAGGGGTGTGCCCAGTTGAGGTTTATTGTTTTTATTTTTTTTTACACTTACTTCTTTATTAGGTGCACAAGTACCAAGATGCATGGGTGGAGGTCAGAGGACAACCTGCAGGAATCAGTTCTCTCCTTCTACCTTGTGGGTTCGGGGATTGAACTAAAGTCGTTCAGCTTGCGGGCAAGCACCTTTGTTCGCTGAGCCATCTCACCAGCCCCTAGATGAGATGGGATGATCGTATATTCTCAGGTGCCTCACCTGGAAGAGCAGAGCTTGCCGACTGGGGCATGCCCTGGCAGGTGGCCCATGATGGCCGTGGCTACCTTTCGGCTTTTCTAACCTCCTTTGCCCACAGGTGAGCTGAATCATCCTCCATCCCCTGCCCCTCAAGGTGACTTCCTGGTCCTGGGACACAGGGGAGCACAACAGTTTTCCACAGGACAGGGGTGCAAGTTGACAAGGGTCTATGGAGATGCTGATGTTCAGCCAAGGCCTGAAGTGGGCTTTGGAGCCAAGGGACCTCTTGCACAAAGGCATATCTGGCAGACAGGAGAGAAAGTTCCCTGCAAGCCAGTCCTTCTTCTCAGCCTAGGCCCCAAGAGAACAGGAGACCTGATCACAGAGACCCGCCTTTCCTCTTTAAGTGGGGGTGGAGGAGAGGAAGCCAGCTGATTGCTGGCTGAAAAAGAAAGATGAACTCAATCTGAACTTGAGCCAGGCCCCGGAGAGACCCCATCCCCCACCAGCTGGCTGTCTCCTGTTCCACTTGCAGATCACAGTCCTGCTTGCACAGCCGGACATAGGGCTGAGGACTCCTAGTGCCACCACCAGAGCCCACCCCTTTTTCACTCAGCGGTGTCACAGTCACCATGATGTGAAGGACTCGAGAGAAGCCCAGGGATAGGCTTGGTGAGGGACCTGAACAATATCCTAGACCAGAGAGGATGCTGGAGACAGTCCCCTGCCACCCTGCTGCCGGAAGAAAGAGGATGTACTCTCCTGAGAGTCACAAGCTAGAGCTCTGGCCCACCACAAGAGCAGAAATAGAGCCAAGTTGGAACCACAGCCTCAATGGGAAAGATTCACATCCCCTTTGGATTTGAGGTCTTTGATCTACTCATCTCAAAATGGTGGTTGGTCCTCCCTGGCTGTGGGCAGGGTGCTCACCTGGTCACATGCCATCCCCAGGAGCATAGAGGACTACTGGGAAGACTGTTCTGGAGAGAGAGAAGGTTCACTGCCCCATCTACTTTCTAGAGGAGAAGCAGGATTCTGGCTGGTGGGGTGTCAGTTCGGGAGGAAGGGCACTGCCCTAGGAATGGCCTCCGAGGGGTGCAATAGCCCCTTGGCACTCCGGGAAAAGAAAGCCTTGGCCTGCTTGGCAACTTGAGTGTGCAAAGCCCCACTGCAACTCAGGGGCCTTCGTAATGGCCTGTGAGAGCTATGTTCTCATGTCCTGTGTTACCGGGGGAAGCTGAGGGACACACTGCTGCCTCCATGGGTCCCTAGGTGACCAGGGCCCTTGAGCCACCTTCCCTCAACTGCATGCTTAGGCCTTGTATCCCTACCTTCAGTAGCCTCTGGGCAACTCCCTGAGTGTGACTCTCAGGAGGTGTCACCACAGGCAAGCAACAAGGGGCCTCTTGAGGCAAGGTCTCTCTACATTCCCTCTCTCAGATGGCTTTGATGGTTAATCACTGGGCACGACCCAGGTTGAGCAGGGCTGACAGCCACCCTTATCCAGGGAGTCTATCAAAGACCTTCAGGACTTTGCTCCTGACAGGGCTCCACCTTTCCTTTGTAATGAGCTCTGCTTCCTGACTTCAGAGCTGGGTCACAGTGGCACTAAAGGCATGAACACCATCTCCATCCTGCCTTGCTCCTTCCACAGAGCCTTTCAGGAATCCTCCCAACCTTTGACTGAACAAACCAGACTGATTCCACTGGGTTGGGGAGTGGCCAAGGTGGGCACAAGCTAAACACAGCTCTCTCATTGGGTCTGTCCCAGTTTGCAGGGTTGGCACAGGGTTCACAACCCTCTGCTGAGAGGTTTCCATTCTTGTTCTAGGCCCATTTTCAGGTCAGATCCTGGGGCTCTATGGAACAAGTAAGTGGAGGACCCTCTTCAATGACCCCACCTTTGTGTCCCCCACTGCTGTAGGGCCTTGCTGACCTGGACTATACTGCTAGGAAGGTTGGGACACACAAGTCATGTCCTTAGGGACAGATGAAGGCAAATTACCATTTCTACAAGCAAAGCTCTGGGAATTTTAGGAGTGGATGATCAGCTGCCTGCTCCGTGATGCCTTCCCAACTGTCAGCATCTTCATTGCCACCCCTCCAGTCATCAAGGCTTTTGGGGTGCCACGCACCCCCCCCCAGCCCTTTGCAGCCTCCTGTTCTCCTCCCTACATCCTGTAGAGAAGCACTCAGAGCTTGGGCGGAGAGAGGCTCAGGAAAAAATCTCTCCCAGACCTCCCATCCCCCAAAAGACTGGGGGCTCAGGTACACACACACACACACACACACACACAGACACAGACACACAGACACACACACACACACACACACACACACACACAGACACAGACACACACACACACACACACACACACACACACAAACACACACACACCTGCACCTGTTACACTACATCCCTTTTGGCATTACTGCCCTGCCTTGAATCCAAACACAGCTGCCACAGCAGAGGTGGCTCAGGGTGTGGCTGTCCACTGTGAGTGAGCCTTGGGTGCTTGCCATGGGGCCCTAAGCAGGGGTTCTGCTCCAAGGTGCATGTTCCCAGTCTCTGTGCTAAAACCTGGAATGCTGTCTCCTGCCCACTCACCCAGGTCCTTCCACTAAGGGGCACTGTGACCACAGGTACAGGTAAGTGTCTCAGAGAAACTTTTATCTCACTACTATTTAGACTTCTGTATTTGGAGCCATCAGGTTGGGTGGCATTGTCCCCAACCTTCAGATGAGAAAAACTGAGGGCCCAGGGACAAAATGTCCCTGGTGCCATCTCTAATTTGGCAAAGCTGAAATCCCTCATTTTCTACCAGGCGTCCTAATCTCTACCCTTCTACCCACCCCAGCCCTGTTTCTCTCTTTGTATCCAGTTCCTGGATGAACACTGGTTACAGACAGTGGGTGGGGGAGATGGGTGTTTCTCTCGGCAGCCATCTTGAACCTGAGTCACCCATCCTCTGCTTGGTTCCTGGGAAGACCGGAAGGAAGCTCACTCCCTTGTGCAGGCCAGACCTCGTCAGAAAACCCATTCTAGATGACAATGACCTCAAGGTCTCTGTTCTCCCCCTTCCAGACCTCCCACCTGTATTCCCTACAGTCTGGAAGCGAGCTCAAGGCATAAAGGAAGTCTACTTACTGGCCTCAGGGCTGAGGCGGGCACCCATTAGCCTCGGCTCCTCCTGGGGCACAAGTCCTTGGGTCTAGAGATGTCTGTGAAGGCCAGTAGTAAGGTTTTCAAGACTCAGATGGTTCCCCTTTTATAGGCTGGAGATCACGTTACCAGGGTTGATGATTAATTAGATGCTCTCACGCATGACGATATCCGGGACTTTCCCCTTGATGTCTCGTGGCTCACAGTAGACCTGCTGCAGCAGGCTGCCCTGGGAAAAGGAAGCGGGGACTGTGACTGTGGCTGTAGCTTAGAGTTCTTTCCCTTTGACTTCTATTCAGCCCTTGTCTGTGAATTACAATCATCCACAGCATGTTAGTAAACACCTGTACCCACCTCCAGCCCTGTGCAAAGACTCTGGTGCCCCGGTCTGGAGTGAGACCGGGGCATCGGAAGTTTCAAAGAGCATGCAGGAACTCTGATATGCAGCCAGCATGGCTCACCATGGCAACCCCACATGCAGAAGGTGTGCAGCACTGCTGAAGTAGGTTAAACTGAATGAACTAAATCCTGGGACCCGTGCAGCTGAGCCTGCCTGGTGGCAAGGTTGGCTGGGAAGCTTACAAATACTCTGCACCCCTCCCCCATCACACACCACCACCAGCCTAAGTCCCTCTTGAGACTCCGGATCAAGGCCACAATCAGTGACTTCTTTGGACCCTTACAGAAATGAATTGTGCAGGTCAGTAGTGACACACGCCTTGAATCCCAGCACTTGGGAGGCAGAAGCGGGCAGATCTCTGTGTGTTCAAGGCCAGCCTGGTCTACAGAGTGAGTTTTGGGACAGCCAAGGCTACACAGAGAAACCCTGTCTCAATAAACCAAAAATAGAGAGAAATAAAGGAAGAAAGGAAGGACGGAAGGAAGGAAGGAGGGAAGGAAGGAAGGAAAAAATGAATAAGTCCCTGGGCCACCTGTAAATGGCAGTGCCCTTGAGTGAGGAGGGACTTGGAGACTTGGAGACCCAGGTTGTGCCTGCTCTGTTACCTTTTGCAGATCCCTTCCTCTTCTTTAGCTCTGGTGTCCAAGTTATAAAATAGGGAACCAGGATGTACTGGACCTCTTCCAGTCAGCATGCGGTGCCTAAGTGAGAAGAAGTGGCAAGAGGAAGGTGGGTGACATCAGTCCAGCCCTGGTTGCCTCAGATATTGCTGTAACCCCTGGACTTTTCTTTTGCATGCCACACCCTCGCTGAGCACCCTTTGTCTCTGCACTAAATATATTACTTCTGCCAAGGCCAAAGGCAACTGCTCAAGAGTAAGCCCCAATCACTTGAGCCAGAGGCCTATGAATACTAAATAAAAGTTGCAGTTGGCCCAATGCCCTGGCTGGCCCAGTCTGAGAAGCTCAGGCTCCTGGCTGGCACCTCCTGGCAGTGCAGGCTGCTCCTCCCTTGCTGGACTTTACCTGTGACATTGGCTGCCTTGAGTGGCTGCCCAGGGTTGGAACTGAGAGTTCCTTCTTGATAACCCACATTCCCTGCCACAGGTATGTGCGGGACCTTATCAAGGTGCCTGCTCTGGGACTTTAGCCTTTATAGAAAATTACTGGTTAGTTGTACACCTGTAGGAGGGTGGTATGGCCCCACAGGCAGGACCTGTAGCCTGTGCAGGCCAGCAGCCAGCAGGTGAGAAAGGCAGGCTAGCCCAGACACCCACATCTGGTGAACATAGCTACTACATTGATGAGGTTCAGTACATTCATTCCAAACAGGCTCCCTACATCTGGGAAGTGACAGAAACAGGAAGGCCCCTTGCTTGCTTGTACCCCACCTTTCTCCCATGAAGCGAGCCATGAACCCTTCATTCTATGCTTACCACTGACATCAGGCCAGGGAGAACCTGAATGGGCAGCTCTTGCTAGGCCCCGCCCAGCTCATCACCATGTGGTCACACCCCTCATTGCCTGAGTATTCTCCACTATAATAGTCACTCGTGGGCTCAGCTCCAAACCAGCGTACAAACACATAGACTTCCCCCTTCTTGGGTCTGTCTTTCTCTCTTTCTTTCTTAAACAAGGTCCCATCCATATAGCCTAGCCTTGCCTTGAACTCACTACAGAGCTGAGGATAACCTTAAACTCCCAATCCTGCTGCCTCCACTCTCCAATTTTGGGGGTCTAAACTGGGGCTCGGAGACTGGTGAGATGGCTTTTTTGGGTAAAGACATGTGTTGCCTATCTGACCATCCAGGTTCATTCCCAGGGTGGATGGAGAGATCTGATTGCTGCAAGTTGTCCTCTGACCTTCACATACGTGTCATGGCATGCGCATATCCACACCCACAAAAGCAAATGAGTTTAATTTAAACACACACACACAAACACACACACACACACACACACACACACACACACACACATACACACACACCAGGGCTTCATGCCTGCTAGGCAAGCCACCCTACCGACTTAGCTACATTCCAGACCTGTGTCTTCATTTTCCTTCTTTTAAAATACTTTTCAAATTTTATTCTTTGACAGTTTCACACATGTATATAGTGTACTTTTCAACCTTAATTTTTTTTTTTTTTTTTTTTTTTGGTTTTTCGAGACAGGGTTTCTTTGTGTAGCTTTGGAGCCTATCCTGGCACTCGCTCTGGAGACCAGGCTGGCCTCGAACTCACAGAGATTTGCCTGCCTCTGCCTCCCGAGTGCTGGGATTAAAGGCGTGCGCCACTAATGCCCGGCTCAACCTTAACTTTTATTAAGTATATTGTATGTGTCTGTATGTAGTTACATACACCTGAATATGTGGGTGTCCTTGGCGGCTTTGAGCTGGACTTACAGGCAGTTGTGAGCCCTGCCAACTTGTGTCCTCTGGAGAATCAGTAAGCACCATGTATGATGTATTTCACCCCTCCCCTCTCTTGGCCCCTCCCACCCCATCTGGACCCTTTCTTCTTCCTAGCAAGTCCCTCTCCAACTTCCATCCCTTTTTTTTTTTATTACCCACTGAGTTTAATCAAGCTTGCCTGTAGATGCATGCATGTGTGTGGGGTTACTGAATGGATCGCAGGCAACTTTCTAATGGTTACACCCTGAGCAAAGATGACTCCCCCTCCCTCAGTAAACAGTAATTACCAAGAACCCCTCAGCTTGGGGTGGATCCTTGGGTGCCCCTCCTCCATCTGGGTTTTTATTTCTGGAAGGCTCCAGGTATCATAAAACTTTACATCCATACTAAATTCTTGTGCTTTACCACAGAGGTGCCCGAGAACTGTTTGCACCAGCCGGGTTGTGCAGTCAGCTGAGGCGCCATCAACAGAGGCGGGAAAGGGGAGCACGGGCAGTGTGGTTTTATTCAGCCATAAAGAATGGAGTTATGTCATTTGCAGGGAAATGGTCAGAACTGGAGAGCGTGTTAAATGAGATAAGCCAGGCTCCCAAAAATGAATGTCATCGCTTTTCTCTCCTATACAGGATGCAAATTTTTAAAAAGTAAGGCACATACTGCTAGGAGATGTAGCTCAGTGATACAGTGCTTACCCAGAATTCGTGAGGTTCTGGGTTCAATCCCTGGGAGTGGCGAAGGAAGGAACACTTGAAAATACAAGGGACCCTTTGTGGGTAGAGGTTGGTTGACTTGAGACAGATTCCAGTTCTTATCCCAAGCTGGATTGGAATTCAAAGCAATCTTCCTGTCTCAGTCTCCAAAGTTCTGGAATCACAGGTGTGAGCCACCAGGCTCGCTACAAGGAACTCTTTGGAAAGAGGAAGGGGATCAGTGGGGGAAAGAAAACAAGAGAAGGCGATAGGAGTTAAATATGATCAAAGCACATTACAAATGTGTGTGAAAATGGCATAATGAAGTCATTGCCTTGTACAGTGACTATATACTAATGAGAAATGCATGACCCTCCTCCTGTTGTTCTGTCTTATATAGTGCAACTCCTAGACATAGCCCCTGTGAAGGGAAGGACAGAGACTACTCTCCTAGCCATTGCTGATATAAGTCCAATACTGTTCTAACCTGACGGTCCTTCGGGGGGAAGTCTTCAGAAAGGGTCTGTCTATCTAGAACCACTCCCATTTCACAGAAGGAGAAACTGAGGCACAAGGCACATAAACAGTTCCTGTTAGATGGCTCAGTGGGTAAAGGTGCTGGCTGGCCACATGATCCTGGCAACCCGAGCTCAATCGCCAGAACCCACACAAAGGGAGAAGGAGAGGACCAAGTACAAAAGTTGCCCTCTGACCTACACACCCATAATATACATTGTATGTGTGCACACAAATTGATTAAAAAAAAAACTGAGTTCAAAGTCATCCTTCAACACATAGCAAGTTTGAGGACAGCCCCACCCCGACCCCTGAAAAAAAAAAAAAAAAAAAAAAAAAAAAAGCTTCTGCCCTCACGGCCATGTTGCTGTGCTCTTTGTCAGTATTTAGCCGACTGAACTGATACATAGTAGGAGTTCTGCAAATAGCAACTGACAGGCCACTTGAGTGCCCCCTGGAGGCCTCCCATGATGCCCTATGTGCCATCATCCCAGCAAAGCTGGTGCCTGGGAAGGCGTGCTCCCGAGGCAGGACAGGCTCTGTTCTACAGGGTAATACAGGTCATCCTAAAAAACTGCGGCAGGGACTGGGGCGGCCTCTGCTGGCTATAGTCAGTATTGCAGGAAGCATCGAGGCCCCGAGAACCTACAAGCCCAGGAAGGGGCCAGCAAATTGCCAGAGCACCTTCTGAGGTCTCTACACCTCTTCCACTCACCCTGAAGCTCGCTGATGCTTCCCGACCCAGGGCCAATTTGTCACCTCCTGGAGCCTCCTGGTGGCAGTCAGCCCTCAACTTGTCCAGTCCCCATCGTTGCTCTTGTGTGGACCACCTCATAGATGCCTCCTTCTCTGAGGAGTTGGACTGGTGAGCAAGCTGCAGACTGCTTGGGGGCCCAGGCCAGCGTGTGGTCCAGCAGAGGCCGGAGCCCTGTGTGAACTGGGACACTGATGGGCAGCCCAGCTCCATTGAGCCCAGCCATCAGCGTCCTAGGACCCCTGCGTCATCACATAAGATAATGGGGGGGGGGCTGCAGTCCAGAATGTTAGCTCATTAAACAACCCAGACCACGGGTACACAAGTGGCTAGCAAGGATTTGTCAGGTGCAAACAGGGTGGTATAATACCTCTTTGCCCATCTGGTGACCTACCAAGAGATTAGGAAGGTAAAGGTGTTTGCGACCATGCTTGATGACTTGAA